AGACAAGTCTCCCGCAACGTTCGGATAATAATGTCCTCTCCAGCCCATCTGTTATGTGACAGCGTGTTGGCGCGAATAAGGATTTATAGACGCAGCTGGGCAGTGTCGAAATTGCTGAATGCAGAGAACGAGTTAAGATGGATTGCAATCGTCGCAAAGATGGCGGCGGTGGCGGCGAACGAGCCGAGCGTCGCAGAAGCGCATGCCTCAATGGAATACGATGACAATGGCGGGGATGATTTTTGATAAATGATCGAGATAGGAAAATATTGATATCGCTATCGATATAAACGAACGGCGATAAATATGAAGAAATACGAAAAATACTTATACGCGCGTGCGTGGACAATATATATATATATATATATATATATATATATATATATATATATATATATATTGGGAAAGGTATGAATCCTCTTCCTCTCTCCAGCTATGGGTAAAATAGCAGGACAGACTGGGTTCTATAGCCTTGGATGGCAACTGGTCTAGGAGAAGGACAACTCTGAATTCAAAACCTGTGGAGGGTCGTTTGGGAACCTTGTGGCACGTAGTGTACCAGGTCTCTGTATTCGGCCCTTCAAAATGGGTGGATGGTCCTGCACGAAACCTTCACCACTATAATCAAATCTCATGTGCCGTGTCGGCACATGAGATCTGCTTGACCCTCATACGTCGAATCTCGACGGATGAGGGTCTCCCACATATATATATATATATATTTATAGACGCAGCTGGGCAATATATATAAATAAGTATTTTAGTACAAAATTTAATGATAGCTAGAAATAAGCATGATTTATATGGCATTTTAATGTATATTTGAAAAGCTAAAAAACAACTGGCTTCATCCCAGCCTTATCAAGTTTATTTCTGGGATATAAAAAAATAAGCGTGTAAATTTAATTAATATTAATGATAACGAATGGAGGGGAAAAATGAATTTTCTAGCAAGCTAGAGTCCAATGACATTCAGACCCAGTAAGCATTCCCTATATATGTATATATATATATATATATATATATATATATATATATATATATATATATATATATAATAAAAATATAGTTTTAAGGTATGCTTTATTTATAGTGAATAGGTAAGCTATATTAACGGGGAGTCACATATACATATATCAATACATATCTATACACACACACACACACACACACACACACACACACACACACACACACACACACATATATATATATATATATATATATATATATATATATGAATAATAATATATATATGATCCTCTTCTTCTCCTTCCAGCTATGAGTAAATAGCAGGACAGACTTGGTTCTATAGCTTTGGATGGCAACTGGTCTAGGAGAAGGACAACTCTGAATTCAAAATCTGCGGAGGTTCGTTTGGGGACCTTGTGGCACTTAGTGCACCAGGTCTCTGTATTCCTCCCTTCAAAATGTGGTGTCCTGCACGAAACTTTCACCACTATAATCAAATCTTATGTGCTGATGTCGGGCTGTCGGTTTCTAGGAACTGATCTGTTTAACCCTCATACGTCGAATTCGACGGGAGTGTCAAACATATATATATATATATATATATATATATATATAGATAGATAGATAGATAGATAGATAGATAGATATGTGTTTGTGTGTAGTGGGACTGTATATATATATATATATATATATATATATATATATATATAATAAAATATAGTTTTAAGCTATGCTTTATTTATAGTGAAAAGTAAGCTATATTAACACAGTGACATATACATGCATCAATCCATTTACAATATATATATATATATATATATATATATATATATATATATATATATATAATAAAATATAGTTTGAAGCTATGCATTATTTATAGTGAAAAGGTAAGCTACATTAACTGGCAAAAGTGCTCCATATCAGCGATAGACACTGTGTAAATATCAGAGTGGACACTGAGATCAACACTCAGTGGAGACAATCTGTTTCATGTTTAAATCCAGTCTTCAGGCCATGTGTGTATTTATATATGCTAGTCATTGTTGCGCACTAAATCGGAAATAACTGAAGTTCATACTCGTAATGCTCTAATGACTACAATATATAGTCTACCAACCATCAAACATGACCAGCTTATAAGGAATGTATAATTTAGTGACTTTCCAAGCTTAACAGAAGAATCGTGATGAAATCGATCATAAACGAAAATACATGTTCATCATTAATTAATCATAGCTAAGGATCAGAAGATCATGAAGGATTGAAATAAAGTTCATATATATATATATATATATATATATATATATGTTATTCTAGAATCATTTTCCAACTTATTCAAGATGATCTTCGCCCTCTCTAACCTTCTTACTTTCTGTCCTGGAGTAACAAATTGCCTCATACGTTTCACGTATAATTTCATTTTCAAGTCTTTTTTCATTGCCCATTGAACTGTGATAGCTGAAACTTCTTTCTCACGTGGCAAATATTTTATGGATTGAGTTGGATCTTTTCTAACTGATCTCTTTAAGTTGGATCTTTTCCAGTAGATCTCTTTGAAATTGAAATGATGATCCCTCTCCCTGTTGTGACCTCCTGATCCAGTTTTCCTCTCTACTGTTCCCTCTTTTTTAAACTTATTCACCGTGCACTTGATGGTTCTTGAATGGACTTTGAAGATGGAAACCAGAGTATGAATGTTGGTTCCATTACTGAAGGCCTGAATGATCTTTTTCCTCTCACCATTGCTCAGTTGGAAAGACAGTGGGTCTGACACAAAAATTAAAAAAAAATAATTAACCTGTTCTCTTTGTAGGTGAATAACTCAAAGTTTTTTTTTTTTAGTGATTCTTACGACAAATGGTGTCAAGATATATATATATGGAGGGAACATTGAGGCGGTGTAATGGTTAGCAAACTTGTCCCGCTAAAACAATTACGAGTGGGTAGTGAGTTCGATCCTCATTGGGTGACCAATAGTTTCTGCCTTGTGCCACATCTAAGCTACGCTTGGAAAGTCACTACTGGGCACTTCGAGAGGGTGTAATGGTTAGCAAGCTTGTCTCGCTAGAACAATTACAACTGAGTAGTGGGTTTGATCCTCATTGGGTGCCCCAACTTTCGGCCTTGCGCCAAAACTAAGCTACTCTTGGAAATTATCTCTAAATAATATATATATATATATATATATATATATATATATATATATATATATATATATATATATATAACTATAATCGTTTCGAAAAACCCTCAAATTTTTGATTTGCCAATAATCAAATCAATCCCGAGGAAAAAAAGGTTTTAAAAAAAGAAAGAGCTACAAACATGGACTTCTGCCGACAAAAAAAATCGCGCAGATGCAGGTCTGAAGCCCAAAGAAAAAACCCCGATACGAGTAAACAACTAACTAACAAAAGAGCTCAATACAACCGTAGAGCAAACCTAGATAAACCTAATGAGCCAGACAAACCTACCCAGGTTTCACCTAAGCGGATCGTCAGGGAAATATGTATATATATATATGTGTGTGTGTGTGTGTCGAAAATAACATGTTTTTATAAGGTATCGTATAATCTATTAGTAACTAAACATGTTTGGGCGAAAAGGAAAAGCATGAAATCCTGTCTTGGAAAAAGCTTAATCGAAATCCTGACCTTATCAGATCTCGAACTTCCTTCCCTTAATAGATTAGGCAAGCAGGTTTTAGATGATGCAGTCCTGAGATGCCTGGAAACAGAATCGATAATGACGTAAGTGGTTAAACAGCCAATGACAAAAGAGAACATGTTGCACATGTTCTGCGCATGTCCTTTCAAGAGTTACACTTCTTTTTTTTTCTTTTTTTTTTTAATGCTCTTGTTTTCCCTATCGCCATTTTCACGCTCTTATACGGAATCCTGCCGTTCGAAAAGTGTCCGGACATAGGCCAAAGAGTATGGCATGCCTCTTAGCTACTTCGCGTTGGTTTTAGGCACGCTGATTTGATCTAATATGCCTCCATGTTTCTTCTTTTGCTTTTATTTCTGTTCCTGCTTTCCGGGTGTTGTTTGAGTGTGAGTATGGTGTTTCGGGCGTGACATTTAAGTTGGCACAAGTCATTAGACGTGATAAGAGGAAGCAAATACTGTTGTTGCGTGCATTAGTCGAAGCCAAAGAGAATAATTTGCCCCGAAAGTAGAAGGGCCCATATGAATAGGAAAGAAGAAGAAAAAAAAAGGAGTCTATTACTTATCACAGCCTGTTTTTAAGAAGTGGGGAGTGAAAGGTTTTTGGCACTACCAACTTGCCAAACATCTGATCGAATGACCTAACAAAAGATTTCCTTTGCCTCAAATCTATCTATCTATCTATCTATCTATCTCAGTCTGTTTATATATATGTATGTATGTATGTATGTATGTATGTATGTATGTATCTATCTATCTATCTCAGTCTGTTTATATGTATGTATGTATGTATGTATCTATCTATCTATCTCAGTCTGTTTATATGTATGTATGTATATATGTATGTATCTATCTATCTATCTATCTATCTATCTATCTATCTATCTATCTCAGTCTGTCTATTTATCTACCTATCTATTTTAATGTGTTCTTTTCTATATATCTGTCTATGTATCTATCTATCTCAGTCTGTTCATATGTATGTATATATGTATCTATCTATTTATCTATCTATCTAAATTCTGTTCATATGTATGTATGTATGTATCTATGTATCTATCTATCTATCTATCTATCTATCTATCTATCTATCTATCTATTTTAGTGTGTTCTTTTCTACATATCTATCTATGTATCTATCTATCGCATTCTATTCATATCTATCTATCTATCTATCTATCTATCTATCTATCTCAGTCTGTTCATATCTATCTATCTATCTATCTATCTATCTATCTATCTATCTATCTATCTCTGTGTTCTTAGACAACGCCTTTCGTAATCTTATTCTATAAATCAACCTAAAGGAATTAAGAATAAGACAAAAAGAAAGAACGACGAATTTGGGAAACAAAAAGATTAAAACAGAAAAAAAAAAAAAACAGGACAAAAAAAAAAAAAAATGGAAGAAAAAGGAAGAAAATTAAGAAAAAAAAATGGACGACAGAAAATGAACCCGGAAAAAGTTATTGACCAAAATGAATTAAGATTAAAACTAAAATAAAAAAAAATTAAAATGAGATAGAGATAAAATGAAGAAAAAGATAAGAAGTAAAGAAAGGAAAGAAAAGTTTGGAAGCGCGGAACTGGATTAAGAAATAATGACATAAAACGTTACATTTTCTGCCCTAATAAGCGTTCATTATATCCTTCTTATCTGCGCCAACGAGGACATACCGATGAATGTGGGACAGCAGGTCATGAGGTCACATTCGTGTTGGACTAATATTCGTTTTTAACCGACCAAGCTTCACAATATCTAGGTTTGTTGTAAGGAAAATAGAGGACTCTCTTCCTGTGATCTCTCGTTTTTTCTTTATCTATCGTCTCCTACCGCCCTCCCACGAAGCAAAATCGCCCGTAGGTTTGTGGAGTGAACATCTGAAAAACCTATTTCTCTAGAAACTTCAGTTTATATTGTTGTTTTCACGAAGGAGACTTCGAGGTTTACAAATATTCACCGTCTCTTCCTCCAAATGTACTTACGAACAAATGGACTTCAGTCAGTGTTTTTCTATATGAATTTCTCATTCACAGATGCCTACAAACTTATACTAGTTACAGACATAGATAGATAGATAGATAGATAGATAGATAGATAGATAGATAGATAGATAGATACTCATTGAAGTCATAGATAGATAGATAGATAGATAGATACTCATTGAAGTCATAGATAGATAGATAGATAGATACTCACTGAAGCCATAGATAGATAGACAGATAGATAAATAGATAGATAGATACTCAGTGAAGTCATAGATAGATAGATAAATAGATACTCATTGAAGTCATGGATAGATAGATAGATAGATAGATAGATAGATACTCATTGAAGTCATAGATAGATAGATAGATAGATAGATACTCACTGAAGCCATAGATAGACAGACAGATAAATAGATAGATAGATACTCATTGAAGTCATAGATAGATAGATAGATAGATAGATACTCATTGTCATAGACAGATAGATAGATATACAGATAGATAGATACTCACTGAAGTCATAGATAGATAGATAGATACTCATTGAAGTCATAGATGGATAGATAGATATTTAATTCTGAAATAATTAGATAGATATTGAGCATGATCATATATATATATATATATATAAATATATATATATATATATATATCTATATCTATATATATATATATATATATATATATATATATATACACACACATAGATAGATATAAAGATATTTAAGTCTGAAGTAATTAGATATTGTACAGGATTACATAGATATTGAGCATGATCAGACATTATATATATATATATATATATATATATATATATATATATATATATATATATATATATATATATATATATATATATATATATATATATATATATATATATATATATATATATATATATATATATATATATAGAAAGAGAGGAGGGATAGATAGATAGATAGATATTGTAGTCTGAAATTACTAGATATTGAAGTCTTAGTAGATACTACAGCATGGCCTGGCGTTGCCCGTGCTTGATTAAAAATCGTACGACTCATACAGCAATCGCTATCACTTGACTTAAAATATTTTTGCCCCTTCGTTGCCTTTAAACGAGTGCCCTTTGCCGTGTGCTGATGTTGCTACATGCCTTACTTCTTGCCTATTTCACACTGTGAATTTTTTTTCTAAGCTCTATACTAAACATTAAATCTGTTAAAAAAAAGAACTAAACAAAATGAACACAAAACGATCAGCTTTGAAAAAAAAAAGGACTCGTAACTGGAAAAACCGAATGAAAAAAGAATGTTAACAACAAATACTTTTCCACACCCAACTCAGTTCTGCGGAATCAGAATCAACGTTGAGTTTAAGCAAGCGAATGAGCCAATCGGAGTAAAGTGCCATGCAGATTTAAATTTTTCCCACTTGTGACGAATGCAGCTATCGATTAATTTTGCATGCTAGCATGCTAGTTATCATTCGTGTCAGCTATTGGCTCTCACGCTGGCCAATAGAATCTTCCTGCCCATTCGTGGCAGCCAGCTATAGGCTCTCACTCTGGTCAGTAGAAAATGGCCGCAAACTACATGAAAACTGCCGTAGAAGCATGAAAAATCGATTATCTCCAATATCGATAGGAGTTGGGAAATGCAAAGTCGGTCGTGGCCTTCTCCGCTAACTTGCAGCATGAGCATGTAAATTTTGGTGCAAATCCGTCGAAAATTGCGACCTTGCATTCGTTCCACACACACACACACACACACACACACACACACACACACACACACACACACACATCCTGCCTTTTATAGATAGAGATATAGATACATAGATAAGACATTGAAGTCTTAGATATTATAGTCTGAAATAGATATTCAAGTCATAG